TTTTTAAGTGTGAATTTAAAAATGCTACTTTCCTCTTTAAAACCAGTTGCTTTCCCCTATGCCTAGTGTAAAATCTGTATCCCTTCTTAGGCTGATGTGGTCAAAATATGGACTTGTCCAACCTCCTCTTTTCCCCTACACTCCACAACCCCATAGTTTTCTGTCTGTTCTACCAACACAAGTGCCTTCCCTCCTCTGAGCACTCACACATGCTGTTCCCTTTGCCTGGAATGCCCAGGCCTCTGAGAGGCTCACTTCCTGCTCCATTCCGGCCTCAGCACAATAGTCACTTATCTGTTCAACTTGACTACTCACCAAATGTCAGCTCATGAGACCAGAGCTGGTCTTATTCACCCCATATGCCTAGTGCCTAGAAGAGGGCCTGGCACACAGTGAGCACTTGAGTATTTTTTTTTAATTAAAAAAATTGTTTTCCTCTGGAACTGAGATCTTAAAATCACTGGACTATACAGTCCAAGGTAGTGCCTTCCCTCAATGAAAGCCCCAGGTTCCCAAACATACAGAGGCAGGGGCCTCATGGCTTTGTCATGTGGATTCTATTATTGCAGCCACTGCACACACACACACCACACACACACACGTGTGTGTGTGTGTGGTGTGTGTGTGTGTATTAAATCACAAAGGGCCTTGTTGAAAAAGAAATTGTAATATTCCTTAATAGTTTTATTCACTTGGCTAATGTCCACACAGCCACTTAGATGCCTCGGCACTGGTTTTTCACTATGCGTATTCCTGTTTTTTGGCACTCAGCTAAAGGCCTTGATTAGCCTGTCAAACAACCAATCAGCTTCCAGAGAGAAGGTTCCCTTTCACTCCAGGAGCAGCAGAGAGACAGTGTATTAACTCACAGACTGGGGTCCCACCCACTGCTACTACCACGCTGCCTCTACCACACCTTGGGGTTGAAAAGGATAGAAAAGGCCAGGCTGAGAGACATACCTGGGGCAGAGAGGTGGGCTGCGGAGCCAGCAAAACGAGACACAAGGTCACAAATACAGGGCTGAGGCCTAGCAGAGTTAAAAAACACATGAGGTCGTGAGACCTGTCTGCCAGGGCCACCAAATAGCCATGATACCCAGTGTGATGAGGCCCCAAATTCATGTGCTGATGTCTTAACCCCTAGTAGCTCAGAATGTGACCCTCCTTGGAGACAGGGTCTTCAAAGAGATAATTAAGGTTAAATGAAGTCGTTAAGGTGGACCCTAATCTGGTATAACTGGTGTCCTTATTTAAAAAAGGGAAACTTGGACATAGATATGCATAGAGAGATGATGTGAAGACACAGGGAGAAGACAGCCATCTGCAAGCCAAGGAGAGGGGCCTCAGAAGAGAGCAACCCTGTCAGCACCCTGACCTTGCACTTCTGGCCCCCAGAACTGAGAGACAATAAATTTCTGAGTGAGCCACCCAGTCTATGGCACGTTGCTGTGGCAACCCTCACAAGCTAACACCCCCAGCAGGTCTTCACCTTCCAGAGCCTCAGTTGCCACAACTGCAAAATGGGGACACCTGGCCTGCCCACCCCACAGGTTTGCCGTAGGGACGCAGTGAAACTAGATGTACTACAGACGACACCACGATGTCTAATTCACTCTCAGAGTTGGGTCTCAGGGTCCTGGGTAGTGAAGCAGATGAAGTCCTAAGACCTGGAGATTGCAGGGTCACAGTTAGAGGTGGAAGGGCTGGAATAGCGCCTTGGAGATCTGCTCCTCACCTGCCGGGAAGGGAGGGGAGCTGCCCTCCCCCACAGGTATTTAGTGGACGTGGAAGAAACAGAACTTGCGTGGGAGAAAGGAAAGAGAATAGAACAGAAACTAGAGATTTCTAAGAAATTAAAGGGGAAAAAAGCCATATTTAAGTCACTGGGAGTTTTCTGGATAAAAACAATACCCTTTATTTGTATGATACCCTGCAGGTCACAAAATACTTGATGGCAGTGGAGTTTTTTTCACCTGTTTCAGGTCAGATATCCCTGTGAGAGTCCGATGAAAGCCAAGCACCCTCTGCCCAGAAAAAAATAACCCGTATGCACTTAACACATAAAGCATCATGCACCAGCATGGCCCTACCCTGCAGGGATGAGGAAGTCCTGTACCGACACTCGCCGCCACAGGTGGCCACTGAGCACTTGAAATGGGGCCAGCGTGGCTGAGGAACTGCATTTTTTTCATTATGTTATTTTACTCATTTTAACTTATATAGCTCTCTGTGACTAGGGGTTTCTGTCTGTCATCCTATACTGTTCCAGAGGATTTATAGACCCCCTGCAGCTCATTCATGAAATACCCTTGTCAGTGGACCCCAGGACCTCACTTTTAATGACTATACCGTCTTCACAATAATTACCTATTTTGATCTGACCAGAACATGTGTCATCTCCTTTAATCCTATGGACAACCCTAGGGAAGAGAAAACAGTCACCCCATTCTACAGGTGTGGTTCCTGAGGCACTGAGAGGCCCGTCACCTTCCCCAAAGTCTCATGTCTAGGCCACAGTGGTAGATTTGGGACTGTACCCCAAAACTATCTGCTGTGAGAACTCAAGCTCCTTCCTGACTCCCTGAAACCTGTTCATAGGGTTCTGTGAAATGAGGCCCAAGCTCCTACCTGAGGCTTTAATGGAAATTATCTCTAGTCATCACGCTGTACCCATCTTCAGGGCTTCTCTTCTTAAAATCTCCAGCAAGGGCTGGACTGAGGCCAACCCGACCTTGATAATAGACTGTTATTCCACTAAGGTTCATCTCTCGCCTTGCCTTGGGAGGGGGTGCAGATTTCTGTTCCTTCAGCCTGCAGAGTTCCCCAGAGTAAAGAGAGCATGATGCTTGCGGAGAAGCACCTCTGGCAGTTGCTGCAGTTACTACAGATCCTCTCCTAAGGAGAGGATGTGGACACGTGCTTCTAGAATAGCACTCTCTCTGTCTTCCTGATGAAGAAGTCTCCTTCTCTAGTCCAAGAAATCCCAAACACAGCAACACTCACAGAGCGCACAGCCCGCACTGGTCCACACTGTACAGGTCATCCTACACATCTGCCTTCAAGATTCCCCGGAAACCAGGCCACATGGAGCAAGATGGCTCAGAATTTAATAAAACTCACTCTCAACTGCATTTTATATCTCTACTCCCTTCTAACTTCCAGAAATTCCCATCATTTACCAGCATATTCAGATTTGTTTTATCAGCCTATTTTCCCCAGTTCTTCCTCAAAAAAAACTCCTTGGAGGCCCAGCGTGGATGCCTGAAAAACTCCTAAGCTCTTGGGCCTTCACGGTCCCAGACTATGTTGCCTACATATCTACATAATACTTTTTCTATCATATCCTGTATTACTTTTTGAATATCAGATTCATAGCACATTCCCCTTTAAGTTTCTGACTACATTTAGTACATTGCTTAATGACAAGCAGACCCTCAAGAGACCAGTAGTTCCAAACTTGTTAAAGCACAGATTGTGGGGTGGATCCTCACCCCAGAGTTGCTAGGGTGAGGCCTGGAAGTCTGCATTTCTATCAACCCCAATTTATGCTGATGCTGCTGGTCCATGGAATGCCCTTTCAGAATCACTGCAAGAGATGGTGTGGAATGAATAAATGACTGATTGAATGAAAATTTACCTAAAAAATCCTATCCCACACAGGCTCCAAAAGTAAGCTTTAAAAAAAGCAAAATACCAACATTTACTTCTGGATGAGGAGCAAAGACAGAAACATCAGTAAAAAGAATGGCAAAAATAACTGCAGGGAACCAGAAGAAGAAAATCTAAAACAAAAGAAAAACTTTAGGGTTACCATCTGATTTCCTCTTAACCCTTCCTGCACAACTTATGATCAGACCAGAAATTAAAAATAGGCTCATTTTTCTGACTCAATTCAGACCTTTAAAATTTTCTGGAGGAATACTTTGAGTCACTAAGTCCAAGACTAGAAAATTTTTCATAAGGAAATGATCAGGAATGAAAGTAAAAGTGACGTACATGGAGTGTCGCTAAAGCACTGAAGCCCTGTTTATAATAACCAGAAATCTGAAACAACTTAAATGTTTGACAAAAGGAAATAAATTCAATAAATTGTGGTATGTCCATAAATGGAATACTATAAAGCCCTTTAAAATGTCCTCACAGGGGAATAATTATTGACATAGATGACATATGGTATAAAAATGAAAATAAAAACAAAAAGAAGCTAAAGAACAGTATAAACAGATCCAACTTTGGATAAAAACCACATACAGATTTTGAGAAGTAGATGAAAATATAAATATAGCTAGAGAGCTATTTATCAAACGGGGAGTTAGAACCAAAATTATTTTAACATTTGTATTATGACCATTTCTGCAATAAACACGTATTGCTTGAGTAGGTTTTTTACATGATTAATTTGTGGGAAGTTTACAGTCCCCATTTCTTCCCATGAAGGACCAAAGAGTTGAAGCATGAGTATTTTTCTAAGCTCTTCCTCACCCACCCTTCTACAACACCAACTACCACTTGAAGTGTCTGCTGCACCAAGAGCGGCTGCCTCTTTCTCGGGGTTCCCTGGACCTGCTCAAATGAAACCCCAACTCAAAGAGCCTGACTCTGCATAACTCTCAACGCCATCACCAGAGCATCAGCTTTGGGGAATGACATGACATTTCTAATGGATCCACCATTACGTGGCCACACAGCAAACTTTCATTTTTTTAGAAACCAGGACTGTCTCACATGCTGGCTTCACAAGGCGGGTTGCTTAGCAACCACCAAGGAACTGGAAAGGAGCCAGAAGAAGGCAGTGCCAGGATTAACAACGACCAAAGCGCGCCGTGCTCCATGTCTGGTTGCATTCAAGGTAGCCAAATGAGAGATAACACCCGGCTATTTCTGCATCATGAGGAAAAACACTTGGCTCCTACCCAGAAAGGCAATTACCTAAAAATCTTGGCAGACCCCATGGTAGGAGAGATGGTAACTGATACAGGGGTGAAAAAAAAATCACTGACCTTCATAAATACTGATGATATGAGGATGGTTGAGGGATGACATGATCTCAATCTCTCGTCTGATGTGAACCATGTCTTGTTCATCCTTAATTTTGTCCTTACGAATGGATTTTATAGCAACCTATAAAGTCAGGAAATGAATGTTACACAGAGAACTAAACAGATGCAAATCAGCCATTGGGGGAGTTTGGAAAATAAATACAGATGTTACTTGTTGGCAGAATCAGCATTAACCAAAACAAAGCTTCGAAATACCCCTGTCACATCTTTCATTTATAGCAAAAACACCCTTCTCCTGACAACAGAAAACATCAGGTTTTAACAGCCGAGGTTTGGGATGGTGGAGGTTTTTTCATAAAACAGAGGCTGCTTCATGGGGCCAGATTCACTGACTCTAGGAATCCTGATCCTCTGAGAAAAGGAAAAAGGAGAGCTCGGTTTACAGGGTATCGATGAATAACCACGGATAGGTGGAATCAGTATCACAGCTCCCCCAGGCAGCTGCCGCAGCCACAACTAAAACAAGCTTCATTGCATGGCGTTCTCAACGCCGGGTCTGTGCAAACTTGGGTTTAGGACTCCAGTCCGTGTGCTGTGTTTATGCAATTGCTTGGAAGCCAAATCCTTCCTACAACCTTCCTCTGGCCCAAGGCACCTTCGATAGCAAGTGATGTGACGAAAAGGCTCTTCTGGAGAAAAATCAGGATGAAACACTGGGATTGACAGCTAGACTCCCAGCCCAGCCCCAGTTATTCCAAAAGCTCCGTGCCAGTGTCGCCTGCAAACCCAAGCTGTAGAGGATGCCAGGGCCAACGGAGAGCAATTACTCAAAAGAAATATATAAATAAAAAAGCATTAAGTGACAATGGGAAACTAATGAGGGCAAGTATGTTTGCCAGTGGATTCATCTCTGTTCATAAACAAGTTGCTTGGTAATTTAACCCACATTGGCTCTAAGGAAGACAAAAACTACTTTGGTAGGGAGAGGTACCCATGAGTTAGGAGAAAATCCACCAAGCAATTTGCTGCCAGGTCTTAAAAGCCTGCTTAGCCCTCTCCAAACTGGTTCTCCCTTGACCTCGATTCTCACCTATACCACCTTTTCCTCGATGGAAGGCAGTTAAACAATCCCTCTGCCTTACAAGGATTGGAGTGCTCCGGAGGAAAGACGTCCTTGTTATCAGCGTTCCCCCCACCTTGACACTCAGAGGGTGAGGCAGCCGGTCTCAGCAGGAATGTGCTCACACCTGCAAACATTTTCTTCCTGGGATTTCCACCAAGTCCCCACCAAGCACTATACATGGAAACATTTCTAAGACACAGTCGGCCCGTCTGTGACGTCCCTATCATTAGTGTTGGTTTGGCTATTTTCTGACCTAGCATATCCCCACATTTCTCCTTTGCAGAACCCTCCCCAGCTGTCATGAAATCAGTATTTGAGTCATTCCCTGACTCTCCACTTGTGGGGATCTTACTCACTGCTTTATCTCTAATGCTTAACACAGTGATTGGCACGTGGCAGGCCTGAGAAAACACTTAGGGTGGGCAGGCAGACAAGCAGGTGGTCGGTGGAAAGAAAGGGAAGGAGAAAAGGAGGGGAGGAGGGAGCTGATGGGGAGGGAGGGGTTGATATCATTCAGGGATGAGAAGTGGTATTGGAATTAGGGCAAGAAAGGAGGGACCACTCAGGTCAAACAGCACCACCATGCAGGTACGATAGAAAGATATTTAGGATTTCTCTGGCACCTGACCTACACACGTGGGCAACTGAGGAATGGCGAGAGCAGACAGGAAACACGGGATGGCCTGCTGTAAACCCAGGGGCAGGCACCACCCTCCCTGAGACTGCAGGTAGGCCCTGTGGCTGGGTCATAGGAGGCTGCACAGAGATGAATGAGCTTCCAGCTGCAGGACCCCTTCTCATCAGGGCGCCAGGCTCCAAGCCCTCACGATAGCCCCATTCAGTATGGTGCAAGAAAAGCCTATGCTTTTGTCAAATGTAAAGATATGGCTGGAAGGCCTTCTTTTATCTGAGCAGGACCTGCAGCCCTGGGAGCTTGTTCTGGGAGGAAGCAGACAGTGAACACATACATACTGGCCAGGGAGGATGCGAGTGGCTGTTGGACCAACTCCTACATTCTTCCATGGACTAAAGATGGGCCAGGGAAGAAACTACCCCTTTGATTATGCAGCAGCCTAAACTTGGCCTCAAGGAGGCCCTATTGTCAAATGACAATAGGAATAAATTCTTTCACCATCCAGGGTCAGGGGAGGGTAGCCACATTCTGGGGGGTGGAAATAGAAGCCCACTTGTCAGAGCCCCCCAACACTGGAACGAGAGGCTGCTGATGCCTTTGCCGGGGTGGGGGTGGGGGGTGCTTCCAGCCCAGTATAAAAAAGAAAGTGCCCACATGCCAATAAAACCCCACTCAGCACTGGGGGAACTACAAGGGCCCCAACAGTGTTAACTATGGTGGTGCCATGCCACAAAAGCTTCCCTCCTCCCACAATGAATCTCCTATTGGAAATGTAAAAGAGCTCTTTCTGCCCCCTGTTTCAAAGGGTGGTGGGAAGTCCGGAGGAGAAAATGCTACAAGTCCCTTAGAACTGTGCAACTGCTGAGGCCAGAGGAAAGCCATTCGGCTCAACTCCCCAGAGCAGTGAGATGAGTCACCCAAGGTCGTGCAAGCGGTGAACGACAAACAGCAGCAACAGTAACAAGGGCAGTAATACAGCAGCACCCATGGAGCACCTGATACATGGCACAGACACTGCGCTAAGTGCTTTACACACACAGACCTCACATCACCCTCAGCATTCAAGCTTCAGCTCGGCGACCCCCTTGGGGCGGCCCTCCCTCACCCCTCCAGCTGATAAGGCTGCTACTGGCCCCCTCCCTCCCTCTCTACACCTTTCCCCATTGCATCCTTCTCAGGGCATTTCACACCACCAGAAATCATCTTCCTTCTTTATTTGCTGCATATTCAGCCTGTGGCCAAACTCAACTTGTGCCCTGTTTCTACAGGAGCCGGAGAGCTAAGAATGGCTGTCACCTTTTTAAAGAGTAGTTTATAAAAGGAGGAGGAGACCTATAAATGTGGCTCCTGTAAGGTAAGGTAGTGCCTTCTGCATGGAGTTGAAGGACACACTGGGTCAGCACACAGAAAGCAGTACTGCCTCATGGTGAGCATCATGGCTTTGAGTCTTAGCTAAAACCACTCACCAGCTGTGTGGCCGTAGGCAAGCGGCACAAACAGCTGGTGCTCAGGTTTCCTCATCTGTCAAGCAGAGAAATAAAGCACCTACCTCATGGATCCCTGTGAGGATCCGAAGTCGGGCGTTTAGAACGTGCCCAGCCCAGGTAGGTGCTGGGTAAATGTCTGCCGTGACACCGGGGAGAGCCCCCCATAAGCAGAGCCTGTTGTTCCTTTCATCCACCCTTCCTTTCATCCTCAGAACAAATCTTAATTCCCCTGGTTCCTTGTGGGGAGGCGAGTGAAGGTCTAGGGAATGGAGACCAATTTGTTCCCAAAGTAAAGACAGGTCAAGAGACTCTCTCTCCTGGGTCTTTAAAATGTACCTTCCTCTGAAATGTCAGGAAGCTCAGAGCAGCGGGCACTCACCCGCCATCAGCATCACGGCCCCCGTCTGAGATCAGATGGAAGGATAAGCAGCTTGAACCCAAACAGCAACCTCAGGACCATTTCCCCTCATCTCTTCCTAATGGTTGCCCATCCAGGTGAACAGGAATAAAATGTTCCTACTTAGATTCCAAAATCTGATGCAAGACGTCCACGCGAGCCTCTCTGGACTCTGTCCAACTCACTCATTCCTTTAGAGCGCCCACCACATACGAAGCACAGTGTTGAGATTACACAGGAGCTAACACGATTCTGCCCCAGCCCTCCAGGTGGGAGGGAAGGTGGGACCAAGGGCAGCTGAGCAAAAACTACACAAATAATTATGTAATTTCCCTTGTGGCCAAAGGCTGCCACAGAAATGCACAGATGCTGGCATTACGGAGAGAACCTCATCTTCAGTCTTCACGCACGCTGACAAAGACAGACAGAGGTAAGGAAAGGAAAGAGCCCTGCAAGAAGGGATGACCCGATGTCTGAAATCATACACCCACCAAAAAAAAGAAAATTCCACTTGTTCCTGCAGGAGTGAGTCAGAGGGATGTCACTCCACCTTCAAAATGATTGGAGCTGGGAACTCATGCACAGTACAGCCACTTCCATAAATGTTCTCAAGTCTAGACAGCACCGTGTGCCTTATAAAACGGTCTGCTTTTAAATAAGGCCACCCTATAGTTTAATGTTTAAACCATATGCAGCAGCAGGTCTGGCTGCAGACCTGCGAATTCTGCCCTGCGGTGCCTGTCTGTTTAAGAGGCAAATTCAGCCCAGCCAATTCCCATCTCTTGTTAAATGTAACAGGTCCAGCCTCCTCTTCTGTGGAGGTAGCTTTTCCCTTCTTGAATAAGCACCAAAGAGCCACCTGTTCTGCAGCCTGCTGGGCGTCCTTTGCCGCGGTGGCTGCTGTGAATCTGAGAGCTCAGTGATCTAGGCGGGGCTATGGGGAGGCGGAGTGGCACAGTGAAACCTCTGGCTTTTTTTCACAGCCTCAGTTTTCTCATCTGTTAAAGGCATCAGCAAACATACCAACATGTTTCACTCCGTGGCAGTATTCTTAGTAATAGCAATAACTAACATTTATTGTGTGCTAACCATGTGCCAGGGGGCCTTACCTCCTTTAATCCTAACTATAACCCCATTTTACTGGAGAAGAAACAGAGGCACAGAGAAGATAACTATTGCCCAAGGGCACACAGCTTATAAGAGAGGGTTGTAAGAACGCTGGCAGGAGCCCACGGACTGCTGAGGCATGAGGCTGTGGAGGAAGCTGCGATGCACAGCAAACATGGCAGGTGACAGAATCTTTCCAAGGATGCCAAACAGTACCCAAAGGCCAGTGTGCAGGGCCCCCTCTGGGCAGGTGAAGTTTTACAGGTTTATTCCTAAGTGAGGTCCTGGGAGACGGAACTGGGGGACTGAACAGCAGGGATGAAACACACCATAAACACAGCATTAGCGTCACCTAGTGAGAACAGTTGGTGAT